CCGGCGGTCGGCGGTCGCCACTCGGACTTGGCCGGACTGGCCGGACCAGGCCCCCGAGGGCGAGAGGGGCGAAGCGAACCCCGTGGCGGCGCCCGGCAGCCATTTTTGTCTAATTTTAGCTTGGGGAGGGCTGGGGGGCGCAGGAGGCGGGCGGACGGGTTTCTCGGTGATCCCCGAGGGAAGGGGAAAGGGAGCGCTGATGGAGGAGGCTTTTCCCCTCGCTGGCTGCTTTCGCGGTCTTGAAGAAATGCTATCCCTCGATCATAACGCTTTCGCGGATAGAAGTGGAAAAAAACCGGGGAGGGACATGATTTCGTGCTGGTTTCTTTCCCCTGTAGGTGTAGCGGGGAAGGTTTTCTGTAAAATAGCATCATTTGGCCCTTTGGACTCAGGGAACGGGGACCAAATAACGAGGCTGTTTGTTCCCCCGCCGGCTTCCTTTGCCTTCTAGGGAGGAATGGGGCAGACGACACGCAGGGGGGCGGATATGATGAGACCGAGCCCCCTATGCCTGGAAAGGATTTGCTTCGTTCACTTTCCCTTTTTATTGGTGTTTATGCGGGAAATAAAAAGGGCTGATTGACTTCACCCCCCCTTTTTTGTTTTAGATTTGGGAGGAGAAATTAATATTCCTCCTCCTGATGGAAGGATATGTTAGGGAGTCCAGACCATACAAAATGACTTGGACCTCTTTTTCCCCCCCACAAAAAAAGGGAGACAAAAACCATCTGTGCTTTTGTCTCCCTGTTTTGGTGGGAAAAAATACCTCCATAAGTTCCTTTGTATGACTTCCATTTTATAATGGCATGTCTATTGGCACATTATGTTTTACAGGGTGCCGTTTTCTTTTGCTTCTGTTAACTGAAAAAAAGCTGTTTCTTAACTGAAAGGCAGGTGGTGGTGGAATGACGCATAGCTGGGTTTGCTCCTCTCCATTGTGCCAGTAGCTTATTGCTTCTGGATTAAGAGCATGGGAAAAACCATTGTTTTCCTTTGTTAGATAGCTTTAGTTAATCAGAATTTGTGGACAGAAACACCCCCTTCATTGGGAAAACTGAGAAGTGTATACTATTCACTGTGTATGGATTGTTTATAGCTGAAACTTAAGGAGTTGTTCAAACATGGGGGGGGGGCACCTTTACTCTCCTTGAACCCACTCCAGAGAACACTGCCCATTAGAGCATGCCCACTGCCAGTATGTTGCTGAAAATCCAACAGAAGGGCAGGAATGTCCTGATTGTATTTGGATGACATTATTATACAGCTGTTCCTGTTGGTGCTAGATAATACGTGCACACAAAAGGCTCAATTTTCTTCTAACAGTAGAGAGGGAAAATGGCAAAGGTTGTCATTCTATAGAAGAGGACACTGAAATAATAACTATTTTGTTTACAGAACAATGTTTGGACTTTGGCTATATGAGTAAATAACTACATCTGTTTCTGTGTGATAATGTGTTAGAACATCAACTAAAAACTTATAACCACATATTTCTTTGTGTGTTAAAGACAAGAAATGAATAAATACCAGCTTCAGCTTATGCTGCTATTCTGCTACATGCACACATAAATGTCTAGTGGTGTGATGTAGGGATTAAAGTGATAAAATAAGATCTGGGAGACCCAAGTTCAGATCCACCTTCAGCCACAGAGGTTCCTAGGTTACTTTGAAGCAGACTCTTTTCACCTGAATCTTCTACACAGAGATAAAGCTCTAGGAAAAACTGGAGGGGAGAAATGCAATGTGTCCCTCACTGTACTCAAGAAAAGGTAGTACATAAATCTAAAATCGAATTTTCTGGGCAGGGACTTGCTTATATGAAAACAAGGTTTCTTCAAGTGTGGTTTGATTTATTTATCACATTTTGGTGGTGTTCGTTTATATTAAGGTTGTGCTATGTGGGTTGCGCTCTACTGGGCTCATTCCAGCATAATATTTAATGGTAAATATAATTGAGACAGTTGCATAGATCTTTCCCACAAATTTTGCATCCTCATTTCCAGGCTAAAAACATAACACTACAATTAAATGAAAACTAGAAAAAAATCAATGTCTATGGCTTTAAACAACTATGACTTTAAGGAACACCTCCTCTTAGTCAGATGGTGTGAGTTACATTCTTTTAGGTGTAGCTTGTGCAAGGCTTAATAAGCTTCAGTGTAATTGTACATTCTGTCCTTGATTCTTTCATCCTGTAGTAATTTCACTGAAGTATATACAGAATAGAATTAAGTAAAAAATAAAAAAATTAAGTACATAATATTAAGCCTGATGCAATACAAAATACATTTATTCTGCCTCCAGAGGCTTACATCACTGAACAAAATTAGAGTATTTAGGTATTTTATTATTGGGGGCAAACCCTGTATAATGCTAAGCATATTTCCTTAGATGTTAACATTTGATAGGAATTATTCTTAGATAACTGCAGATAATGTTAGCAAATACTTAGCCTCAAAGAATGTTCAAAACTTTCCAAAGTTGTGGGGGTTGGCTGGGGACCAAGTTACAAGATTCTCCCAGTGTGATTCTATACATATCTCCCTAGAAGTAAATATTACCGAATTCAATAGGACTGCTCTTAGTATGCCTTCAAATTCAGTTTATTTTAGTAAATTTTATTTCTATTTGTTTTACAGGCTTCTGGAGTAACAGTGAATGATGAAGTTATCAAGGTTTTCAATGACATGAAAGTACGGAAATCTTCAACAGCAGAAGAGATTAAAAAAAGAAAGAAAGCAGTTCTTTTCTGTTTAAGTGCTGACAAAAGGCAAATAATTGTAGAAGAAGCAAAGCAGATATTAGTTGGTGACATTGGTGTCACAGTTGAGGACCCTTATATAGCCTTTGTGAAGCTGTTACCACTGAATGATTGCCGATATGCTTTGTATGATGCAACATACGAAACAAAGGAATCTAAAAAGGAAGATTTGGTATTTATATTCTGGTGTGTAAATCAAAGGATTATTGTTAAAACACAGTTGACTTTCCAAGATTCAAAGCTGAATTAACCAATTTCCCCTCCTCTCTGTAGGGCCCCAGAAAATGCCCCTTTAAAAAGCAAGATGATCTACGCAAGCTCTAAAGATGCCATTAAAAAGAAATTTACAGGTATGATTAGAAAACATTTCATAACTTTGAGTTTAGTAACAATTGAATTCAGACTAATATTTAAGTTTCTACTCAAGGAAGCAGGTGGATTTCTACATATCCATTATTTCTCAGCAACTTTATAAAAAAAAAATTCCTTGCCACTAAAATACTGAACAAGCATACATGTATGTTCATTTGTCTTTTCCAGGTATTAAACACGAGTGGCAGGTAAATGGTTATGAAGATATTAAAGATCGTTCAACACTGGGAGACAAACTAGGAGGCAATGTGGTAGTTTCACTTGAAGGAAAACCCTTATAAAAGGACAGGCATGTGCCATCTGGAGCTTCCATTTCTGCAGCTCATTCAGTTGGAATAATACTAATTCCTTTTTTGCCCCATCTTCCCAGATCCCAAATACCCAAAGGAGATATCATTAACAGTCTACAAATGACCATCGTTAGACTGTTTTTAAACCTGGTAGTTTTATGTAGAATCCATGGAATGCCTTCCATATATTCTTAGCCCAAACTGTAGGCATTCCTTGCAAATGTGTACAATGAATGTGATAGTTGATGTGGATAGTCTAGCCAAGCAAAGGTTTAAGTTAATTGATTGCCTTTAACTATTGTCCAATGATCAAATGAGACTCTTTTCAGTTTTACTTTACAGTTGCACTTGATTGCAATTCCATGAGGCTCTTGTGCATTCATACACCTCACATGCCTTTATAAGCCTATTTTTTGTGACATGGCAGCACATAACACTATGCATTTTAAGCACTTTTTTGTAATATGTTTGATTTTTTTCTTCCATCTCCCTGGAATACCAATTAATTTATGGAATTGTGTCATCAGTCTGTTGTTGTACCTTGGTCCTCATTTCTGTTAAATGAAGTTACTGTAATTATACCTTTTTGTCTTTCCATGAAATGTATGCTACTGAACAGGAGTAGGAATTGTTTACCATGCAGGTCTTGCAACCTAAATATATTTTGTATAGTGTCATTCATAATGGCAATTTCTGTATAAAGGAACTGTAAATGAAACTCTGATTTTGAAATCAAATATATAGGCCACACTGCAATAAAACCTGTGGCTTATTACAGAACACTCCCTTGTGTTCTGTAATAATAGACAAACATGTTTAACCATTTTGTGAAAATAGACAAACATGTTTAACCATTTTGTACCACTTCCCATCCCCCCCAGTATATAGTCTACTACTATTATTAGTCTATTTATTATGTTATCACTTTGCTCGTACAATGATTTGAATAAGCAACCTTCCTTCCCAAATCTTTGATTACCTTAATATGTTTTCATTATTACAGAACAATTAGGCCAACAACTTATCCTGTTTCAGAAACTTATAATAAAAATGATTCGCTAACATAGAGCATTATTTCAGAATACTTTTCCCAATTCTATGTTAGTTTAGTATTTCATATTCTACTTTTTGTCTAGTCATAGGGCAGCTGTTTTCCAGTTAACTTTTGTACGAATAGGTCTGGAAAGCTTTTGCTGCTACTAAGTCTTGCATCAGGAACATAATTTGGCTTAAAGCCAGTCACTACACTCCATATAGAGAATTTGATCTGCTCTGTACGAGCAGTCCTCCGTTAGCCAAAGCTATTTATGGCAAACACATGCTTTTGTATCTTGTCATCGGTTCTCCACAAATGGCAAAACTGGACATGATTCTACTGGTATGCATAAAGGAACTTCGTTAGCCAGCCAGTCGCTGTTGAAGTGTGCATACCACTAGAAGGAACGTATTCATCAAAGAACAGAAATTGAAAACGGTTGCAATTTCTTAACAAAAGATGGCATACAAATAAATTTTAATCAGAATTAAAATTGTTTTAACTCATTTTGAGGGAAGATATAAAATAAGTTGATAACAAATATTACTCAGTTCTACAGATTGTTACTGTGGAACTCTGACTATTTCAAGCTTTCAGCTGTCTCCGGCTTATTGCAAGTGAAATGTATATCTTTTAGAGTACTGTTTGAACTTCATGGTAGCATTTAAGCTATGCACACTATTGCTAGATGGTAACAGTTTTGTAGCAAAAAAAAAAAATCCTTAAATTATTTATAGGAGATTTTAAAATACTTAAGAATTAGGCTTATGCCACATTACTTGGATATATTACGATGTGCACTTAAAAAGGTCTGGCTGGTATAAAAACCTACTTTTGTTCAGTTCTTACCTAGGTCTGCATCACTTCCCTTCTGAAATTATAATGTGCTGATAGTGTTTTACTAGAGAAATTTCAAATGCTTTAAAAGGAGTGTTAAAATTTTTAAAATCTATCTAGATTGCAATGTTTATCCCATCTCCAATGTAAAGCACTGTTTTTAGTTCATGAAATCCTCTACAAATAATATACTGCTGTTTGCATATTACGTTGAACAGATCTCTGAGACTCCAGAACTGAATATTGAAGAGAACATATACATTTGACTCAAATTATGTATTCAGTTAAAAGTTCACGTGAATTTACGTAAAATCAGAATTGATTTATGTTCATCAAGTATGAAACCCTCCATAATACCTTTAATTCAAATTTTGTTTACAACGGAAAAACAGTACTGAGATTGATTTCAGTGCTATAACTTGCTTTTTGAAATGCTGCTACAAATCTACTGCTTGGACAATAAAACGAATGAAAGACAGCTGGCATGTGTTCCACATGGCTCATCAGCTGTTGTTTTCTGTCATGCAAAATGATGAAGGCTTCATTGTGACTTAAAGGTTGAAGAAAACTTCACAATCTGAGCATCTTGCATGCTTCCCATCACTGATGGGCATTGGGAATTTGCTTCAGTTATTTTATGAATAAAGAAATGTTAAATAAAAGTTTTCATGACTATACTGAAAGCCTCTGCAGATACTGCATTTTTATTTAAAAAAATGAAAATGAGCAGGTTTGGCTTAAATATTGAATATATAACAATACAACATGTGGATTGATCTAAAATGACATATAAGACTACAAAAGGTGAAAAATAGGTGCAGAAACTAAGAATGACTTTGGTAATAACCTTGAATAATGCCTCTAAGTTGATGTCAGATGCTGTTTGTTCTTCTGACATAATGGATCTTAATTTAAACTGCCAGTTTTCCTTAGCTGAAGGTTTTTCCCATTTTAGGATGCAGTTCTAAGCACATTAATGTGGAGGAATATATCATTGAAATCAACAGACTGATTTTGGGGTAGCACTGTGTTATTAGATACACATCAAAGCAATCCAGTTTTGAGTAATGTGGTAATCCTGTCAAAGTAATTAGTGGCTTGATTCTAGCTTATAAAAGATCCAATTAAAATTGGTAAGACCAAATATCTTCATACAACATGCTGGGAAAGCAAGAGTGCTAGATAAAAAAAGAGATCTGAAAACATAATAAAGCAAATATGGAACTTAAAGGTTTTTTTCCCCTTGTAAGGTTGTTCTGATATTTTTTGTCTCTCTGCACAGATGGCTATTACTGATCTTAGAATAAAAGATGAGAACTTCTTAATGTCATCAATGTCAAGGAGGGATATAAAGAGCACTGATATGCTAAAATAAGTGTTTTTGTTTCATTTATTGGTTGAATAATCATTAATATTTACATAGTAAGATCTTCTATGACTACTAGTAGTAACACTTATACTAATTTCACCCTAACTCCAATACTGTTTCAATCATGTATTAACTTTTCTGATTAAAATGAAGAAATCAAATAGTGGATCTGCTTTGTTGATATGTCTGAGAGAGGGAGCAGAGTAAATGCTCTTCCCTGTGTTATACACTCAAATAATCTTGATCGTTCTGTGAGTGGGTAGTCCTGCTTGCTTTTACATACAGTGGTTTTCTATTAAGGCAAATGCAATAGGCAGTAAACTATTTTTCTTCTATATATAGTTTTCTGTAGTAATCTATATTAGCTCCATTGTTTTCCTGATGGATGGCCTGAATACGAAGTAACTGTGCCATGAAAATACAAATATGCACTATATGCAATGGTTCTTTAAATGATGAAAGTTTAAACAGGTAAAAAATTATTTGGTTTGAGGCAACAGCAGCATATAGTTGCCTCACCCCAGCTTAAAAGAAGCAGAAAAAGTGCATATGATCAGGATGATGGGTATGAACTCATTGCATGTTTAGCCAATTATAACAAAACATGCATTTATTTATTTTGCTTTTTAATAACTACACAATTTTATGAGAAATCATAAAATACCAGAAGTAAACCAAACAGCAAATGTTAATCTAATTATTGTAGGTGAAAATGTTTTCCATACAATATCACTTTATTATTTGGACAAATATCTTCAGTTTCTTAAGGAATTCTGTAAACACCAGCATGATTTAGAGAATGTTTGAAAAATGAATAAAGAAAAGTGTTTGTGCAACAAGGGTACACAGTTTTTAACGCAAATGGGATTGAACTATTGGATTTATCAATTACTGTGCGCAAGGATGAAAGCAGGGTACAGTAGAAACTATGCATTTGCAAAAGTAAAAGATGCAACCTTCCACTATTAAAATAAGCTAGTATTAATATGCTAAGTGTCTGGTTTTGCCTTGAAGTATATGTGTATCTACCTATACCTCTAATAATACAAAATCTCTTTTGTTGTCTCAGAATGGCTAAAGATGACATCACTTTTTCATTCTGAAAAGCTTGCTATAGATTTGGTCTAATTATGCAATTAATATCAAATTCTCAAATTGAGTTTAATCACTCCACCATAAGGGTTCGTTTAGGTTTCACACAGATACCAGTTGTCACGGAGCCATGTTGGGTCTCTTCCAACTATCAGAAGAGACTTAGAGGGGGAGGATTTGGGGACTGCTGGAGAAAGGGGATGGTGAAGTCACTCTCTAAACTCTTTCTGTCAAACAGCATTGAACACAATCCTGCATTTTGCAATAATCCCGTACCACACTGAGATCGTATTCAGTGTTTTCAATTATGTCTACATACAGATAGTCCCCGGTTTAAGAACAAGTTCCATTCTCAAGGTCAACTTCCCATAAGTCGAATTTGTTTATAAGCTGGAACAGTATTATTGTATAATACTGCATAAATAGTATTGTGTAATGAACTTGAACCATTGTGTATTTACCTCAAATCATTGTGTATTTAACTCGGATTTTGTTACAATAGGCTCTGTCCTTAAGCTAGGTGTTCTTAACCCGGGGACTACCTATAATTACTTTTCTTACTAGCCTGTTCAAATGCTGTCAATGGTTAAAAAATTATGCTCTTCTGCCCCATTATATATTAGTTAGGTATCATTTTCTTTCCAAGTGGAGTTTATTTAGAATTTCTCTGTTCTGATAAATGTGATGCTTCTGGCTAACATGGCTACTTCACTGCCCACCCAATTTAATTATGAGTGGACACTGGACAGACTTCCAGTTCACAGAAACTACTTCATTTTAGTAGAAGCTGGTTTACAAGCTTTGTATTTAGTATTTGAGGACAGATTTCTTTTGAATATGAGAAATTGTAAGTCAATAGTTCTTGCATTCATATAACCAATCCTATGATACTTCCTGTTTGAGAATTGTCTTGTGCTATTCTGCCTCCTCATAGAATTCTGCATGGATCCAGATGTTGTCTTCCACTTATATCTGTCTTGTGTTTTTCTACTGGATCTTCATTTTTTTCTTTCACAAAAATGATTCAAGAGGGAAGGATGGAGTAAGTGCATGTATTTCAACGTGTAGCTTGAACAATTATAACAGAGAAATTGCCTGCTTAGCTCAAGCCTTTCTTTCTTTATTGCACCAGTATTTATGGTAAGAGAAACTGTCTATTGTCAAACAGGAGAAAAGAAAAGTTATTGCTGATCAATTGCAAATCACCAGAGATATATCAACAGACATACTTTCTGCCCATTGTTAATACCAGTGCACAGGCTTTTTCTCCAAGAAATGTTTCTCATAAAAACAATATTTTAAAAAAAAATTCCAATCATACATAAGATTTAGGTGTGTGTGAACGTGTTACTTGTTGTGAACATGAGCACAAAAAGGTGTCTTTGATGGCCCAACAAATACACCTCTCTGTCCGTGTTTTGGCTTTTTCTTGCTACTACTTGAAATATTCATGAAAATGTAAAGGCAGCTTGCCCTCAGCATACATGTTAATTTTCATCATGGTTTTTGCACATGTGATATCTTGTGCATCACAGCTGTTTATACAGCTATTTTGCATTACAACTTGAGCTAAGCTATGCAACATAAATTTAACAAAAGGACACTTCTACATTTGGTAGTCATCCCCTCTATATCACTGTCTCACTCCTAAAAGGCAAACTTGCCAAATAAGCTTGTTAGGGTCTCCTTCACAGTTGGGCCGTGGAAAAATTTCATGGTTTATAATGTCAAATATGCAAAAGAAAATGAATTTAGTAATGGGAGACTATGGTACCAGCATTAAAATTATAACCATAGCACCATCTATTGACAACAAAATACCTTGCAACTTACTATGTGTTAGAAAATTATTTGCCTAGCACTTATAGAAACTATGTAAATAATAGAATAAATTATTTCAAATTTTAGCTCATGATTTCTAGATTTATTAGCTCATTCATTTGGGTGGGGGCAAGTTTAGGTTTCATTTTTTAAAATGTTCACAAGGTAAAATTAAGATGAATTTTATTTTCTGAATAAAATGTAAATATGCAAGTTATAGTTAACTCTGCCTACAGCATGTGGCAATACCTCGCTGACTTTGGCTGATCTCATAAAAGCAAAGCAAGATGAAACCTGGTTCGTACTTGGATGGAAGACCACCAGGAACTCCTGGGGCAGTTGGCTAGACAGAAAAGTTGACAAAAACATCATGGAAAAAGGTAGCAGCAAACTACTTCAGAACTACATGAACACATATATGCCCTAGGAATTTATGTCTTTATTGTTAGCTATCATGTGTCCTCTGGTTAAACTTCACTGAAATAATCTGTGCATACTAGTAATGATATAATAAAGTTCTTAATACAATGGAGTTTTGAATGAGCATTTGAAGGCCTAGCCTGTAGCTGGCTTAGAAGTTACGCAAGATATTAGTGCAGTTCAAATAATTAGCTAGACATTTGGCAACATCTGCAATCCATCAGAAATAGATTATAATGCCTGTGTGTCAGTTTATGGCTTAACATTTTGTCCATTTCCAGAAAATTAAATTAATTGAATAAACTATAGTTAACCAAGAGTAGGTATGTCAGCCAGGACCACACTAGGCAACATAATCTGTATTCCTACAATTGCTACAGCTGTAGAGCTCTGAATGTATCCCAATCTAGCACTTCTCAAAGCATGCCAGAGTGCCTTCCTCGTGCCCCTTTCTGAACAATGTTACCAGTTTGATGCAAAAGTATGTTGAATACCAACAACATGATTGTTCCAGAGGTCTATATGAAGTCTGAATGTTCTGTTAGTCTGTTTTGCATTAATATTTGATCATTTAAGGGGGTGCTGGTATCACAAGCTTTGAGAACCCCTGTCCTAATAGATATATCACTAGGCAAACAAATGGCATGAGAACCAGATCCTCAGTGTTCTTTACTGCTGATTAAAAACAAAACCAGCAATTTGGTATAAACTTACACTGTTCACATTTATTATAGGAGCATCATTAATAGTTTTATGGATATGAAAATAAAAATTTTAAAACCCTCTTATTTCAGCATTTAATAGATACAGTACCATTCTAATAACTGCACTAGGCTATTTTTAGAAGGCAACTCACACATTTAATAAATAAAATATAGAACATGAAAGAAGGTGGATAGAAAGCATTTTCTTCCTCTCTCATAATCGAATCAAGGTCATCCAGTAAAGATGATTGGTGGCAGATTCAGAATGGAATAGAAATACTTTTCACTTAGTGTGCAGCTAAATTATGCGATTTGCTTCTACAAGATGCAAAGACAGCAATCAGATTAGAATGCTATAAAACTAATCTTGCCTTTAATGCAACTCACAAATTAGGATTGGCCATGTTCAGAACAGATGTGCTATGGGGATTGACAATGGAAATAACAAATGTTACACTAGCATTCTTTTGGGCCAAACCAAGGGTGGGTGGCTAGCACTTCAACTCAATAGAGGGAGAAGGTTAATGTTATACTTTTGTTTCATGCATGCCAGGCATTCTCTTTTTTTTCAGTCTGCACCAGCTGATCTGTAGGGCTGCGCTGCATAATAACACTACCTTCTTTTGCAATCATCTGGAACATAAGGTTGAGAAGAGGGAGATAAAACTAAACTATGGGTACATTTAAAAAGAGATTTTATAGCCATGTCTTCAAATGTTATTTCACTAGTTTTCTTCACAACGCAGGCCAGAAGTTATTAAAGGTTTGTTTAATGAGCAAACTGCTCACTAACTCATGAACTTTGAACATCTGGATTTTGCCAACAAGATGTGTGAATTTTACTGTCAGGAATGTGGTTTAAAACTCATTATTCCAAGGATGTTATAACAAGTTTGGAGGAAGCAAGACAGTAGTGCAAATAACTAATTCCATTCCAAACAACTGCACAAATTCTTTTGCTTTGCAGTCTGACACACATTTTTTATTATATTCAGAACTACTGGAAATGGGATAGCTTCTATTAGCCATGTAGAGAATCAAACCACCTTGGGCCAAAATGCTGAGAATGTGTACAGTCTAACTAACTGGTATATGCATCAAAAACAAAATTAATTCCAGAATTC